TCCACTCCCCTTAAAATGTTCTCCCCGTGTACACACCAAATGCAATTAGCATTCCTCCTACCACAAATATTTAACTAAAGGAGGAAAACATTTTAATTGTAGACGACGATGATGTCGAATCAATGAGTCGCGTGAGGAGGACAGACGCACACAAAGCAGAGGAAAGAATGGTAGAAAATTGAGTTTACTAATTGAGGACAAAGTGATAAAAATGAAATTTGTAATTAGACTTTATGGTGGGAAATAATTTTGTTTTCCCTTTTCGCTCCCTTCACCTTCCATCCCTCCCAACTCCCGCTACAAACCTCCCGGTGTACATTTGATCAAAGCTTCTTTGGTAGTCAGTGGAAGATGTTGACAATTAACTTAGACTGTCCCATTAATCGCGAGGTCATTCCGGTCTCAATGACCTGCATTTTTGACAGTGGATTGTTGGCATGTTCTCCTAAGGCAGATTAATTAGTAGTATGTTTCGACCTCGAGGCAGGGGAGCGAGAACAGCGACAAGGTGGTGCATGGATGACAGAAGGGAGTGGCGAGCTCCTTGTCAAGCAACTCACCATTCTGTATTCGCACGTATTAAATGTAAAGAAAGTGATGAAAGCTTTTTTCAAAGTTGCTACTGATACGATTTTTTGTTTGCATTTAAGTAGTATGTGACGAAGTCGCCTCATTATGTGGTGACTGCCACCTTGCACTGACAGCTCGACCGCATGCCGTCATGGAGGCTTTCACCGCGCAACCGTCCGGGCTTACGACTTAGGTTTGTGGTCAATCGTGTCCCAAAATCAAGTTGACTCACATTGCGACAGACTTTAAAAAAGTCATAACACAAACATGCTGATCCTCAGGCAAAATCTGTGGCCTCGACTGTGATGCACCTTTGCAATCCGTGGATTTGAGACAGGCGAATAAGTTGTCGCCGCCTTTACTGTGCCTTAGACCATTGTAATCGACGAGAATAAGCCCTTCTTTTCCTACACTGAAGCCCAACATCAATGCCCTAATGGACGCGGAAACGTTGTAATTACTTGCTTCTTAGACACTTGCTTTTGTACAAAGAAAACAACTGTGCCGTCTTCCTGTCTGGTCGTGTGCTTGTCGGGTGCGGCTCCACAGCGCAGATTTTGGATATTAGGGTGAGAGTAGCGCTTCCACCTTGGAACACTGAAGGCACCATGGGAATGGTAAATAATCACCTTTATCTCAATTTGTATCCAAGTTGTAATTGCTTTCTACAAATTGATATCTTATGAGCACTAGCAACGTAGTGACCCTCCCAGTTCGCCTTACTTTTCCCGCAATCTGATTTAAGTAGTATCTTGATGAACAACAAACCTTAAAGAAACAAACGACAACACAAAAGAAACAAACGACAACACAAAATAGTGTTCAAATGCCAAATTAAAATCAAAATCAGGGTGATATCCAAAAAAGTTAAGTCTATGCTTGGCCTTGCCGACACTGTGCTGTTTTGCGAGCTTAAATTTCCAAACCAAGGATCTGGAGGAGCAGAGGTAAAAGGCAAATTTGTGATGAATCAGGCAGAATTCTCATAGGAAATTGCTTTTTTAAAGTCTTACACTATCTTCAGAATGCACAAAAAAGGCTAACAAATGCACCCGAGTCTTAGCAGAATGTGCCTACTTATAAGAGGATTTAAGTAGCGACGTCATTATAACAACGACTAAAGTCTAAACAAGGTTGAGGAGTTTTAAGCAAACACTGAATTAGCAGATTTTTAGATTGCTTTTTGTTCCCTTGACATACTATAGCCGATGCCTGTTTGCCAAGGAAAGTGGATGACGAAGAACATGAATAATTCTTCTCTTCTCTTACACAGCGCGAACTTAAAGCAGGCTCTCCACGTTCAAAATCATTAAAAAGTTGGTAATGCTGAGGGAACTTGATGTTACATTAAAATTTAGGCTTTTGTTTGCCAATTGGTGACTCTGCTTGTTCAATGTTATGGGATGTGTGCAAAATCGCGCCCCAGTCCCTTATCTTCTGGTAGATCTACAATGTGTCAAAATGAAATTATTTCCTGGAAAAAGGGGAATAAGGGGGTACAGGAGCTGCTTCCGAGTAGCAACTTCCTCATGGTGTTGTGGAGCTAAGGAAAGACTCATCTTACGTGCTCTCTGTAATGCTGCCTGCCAATGCGGCAGCTGTTCCCAACCCACAGGATTATGCAAGGTGTAGTGGGCCAGAAAATTCCCTTCCCGTCTCCAACTCCTATTGTAATAAGTTATCCCAACGATGTCTTTAAGCTTGAGAATACCCAAGTGACAGGCGATGAGCTATGTCAAAATGCAGCGCCTTTTGTGACATTAACTCGACTCCTGACGCCATGGCTCGCACTTGACATCCTCACTTTCTAGTCATGCGTGGCAAATCCCTTTTAACCGAACGAAAGGCAACGCAAAACAAGGTATTAGGTAACTTTTATTGTCAAAGCAGTACACTCAATCATGGGACCGCGATTTTGGTAAAACTCCCTCCTCTTGTTTTCCCCCAAACATAAACACATGCGTTGTGTAGATCGCAAAGAGGCGATATTGGGGAGTTCGATGGTGTTGATTTGGCTCCGTCTTCTCATACTTTAGTCAAAACCACTCTCTGCACTTTAATAGCAACCAGATCGCAGATACTACTTAAATGAACCAATTTAAGTAGAATCGATTTTGTAGGTTTGGTTAAGAATTATTTGCATTTTACACGTCTAACATGTCCCCTTTGTAAGTGCAGAATGCTAATTTTTTGTGATTTATACAATTAATGGTTCTTTTTGGCGCAAAAATGTACTTACTAATCATACACACATGAAATAAAGCGCGCGTTTTTTATACCCGTGATAATGAATTCAGCATAACTTTTTTATAGGTGCAAACAAAATAACTGGATTAGAGTTGTGTTAATGTTTCTAAATAAATTAGTGAGCATTTTTTTTCTATCCCCATCGCGTTCTCTCCCATGCCGCGAGAGGGAGAGATTGTTTTGTGTGATAAAAAAAGGGGTGTTTACACACAAATAGTTCCCATCGTTTACATAAAAAAGCAATTTTTTTCCTTACAGGGAAAAAGGTTTGTGCCTTAAGAAAAGGCAAAATATATGACAAAAAAAGTCGGACCAGCAGATGTCAGGCAGCCTGGTGGTTACCAAAGTGGAAGCACATAATAAGCATTTAAACGTGTGCGAAAAGGACAAATTCATTGGGCCACTTTTGAGTCACAATTGTCGTTAGATGTGTGGGAGTGAGCAAAATGCACTCCTCAACTTTCTGAGTGGAAGTGAAATGGGGACAGGATCTCACCGTTGCTGCATTTTATGTAGCCCAAAAATTGCTACTACTAACAAGTCTCTTTTAAATATCCCTTTGGATGCCTAAAAAAGCGTAAGAATAGTTCTAATCTTATCAAGCCTTCCAAATCGTCTCGCCAAAACGGAAACATGCAACTAGCATAACAGAGACCTCCTCTTCACGCCCCGGATCGGTATGTGACGCATCTTGTAGTAATGAAATAATGTGTGTAGAGTTGTGAGGCAAATAGTTATTTTTCTCAGTAGCTCCACTTTCCCCACCTTAAAAGTCAGATCAAAGTCAACTTCTCGCCTCTCACGTGATACCGCGATGAAGCCTTCCAAATGCACCTCTCCCATTGGTCCATCGTCCAGCGCCTCGACGCCCTCTGATTGGTCCAAACGATTGGTGAGCTCTCTGTCTCCTCCTCCTCTTCCGCATTGCTGTGCAGCAATGGATTTGTAGAGGGTCGAAGCGCTGAGAAGGAGACGAAGAAAGAGTAACCACTAAGTGTAAGAGTGTGACCCCCGTCCCCATCCCCCCAAAAGAAAAACTAGAAAGAAAAGGCGGGAAGGAAGGTGATATTAGAGAGAGCAGGAGAAAGATAGAGCATGAATGGGGATCAGGAGCCCTACCAACCGCTGCCTTTCATTCCCATCTCCATGTGCACATGCAACTGTACCTGCAAGCCTGCTAAGTCGAGAAAAGTGAAGTCAGTGAAGAGATTTGATTTGGCTGGTGGAGTAACTGGCGATCATCTGCCAGCAATTTCAACAACCGCGTCCACTACCAATTGGCATTCCAATGGGGTGAGTGCCAAGATTTCCTCCATTGCTTAACTTCCGGACTTTATTGCATGAAATTTAATTCTTTTTAAAAATTGTTTTGGCGCATTAAGTTGGCCTAAATGTTGGGCGTGGGGGGAGGGGTGGGGAGATGGTACCTTCGCGGCATTGTGTTTTAGAGATGAAGGTGGGGAAAATCAGCCCATAGCCCTAATAGAGGAGTTTTCTTGGCTTGAAGGGAATCTAAGATAACTACAGTCCACTTCGCCTTTCGTGTATTTGTTTTCTCATTTGCCTCTGTCTTGACATCTGACTCTCAAAATTGATTCGTATGTCATAACTCTGGAGCGATGGCAAGAGTGTGGAGGGTTCCGAAGGGTGGGGCAAGGGAGGAGGTGGTAAGTGGGCTGTAAGGCTTAGATGAAGTATAAATATGCATCAGCACTAACTCCAACTTGTCAGTCCTGATTGATTTGCCGTTGTGCCTCACTTATCGATGATGTATGCCAAAAAAAGGAGATTGAGGCGTTGATTTGTTGCCTAGAGGATTCCAACAACTCCACCAACTTTCCCCTCCTCCTCCTCGCTAGAGTCGGTGAGGCATTCGAAGTGTCAGTTGGTTGTAACAGTGTCAAATTTAAAGTGGAAGTAGAGTTAATTTTAGCTTCACTGAAAGATCAGGCTGCAAAGCTAACCATAAAAAGTCGAAAGCACTTCCTCCCTTCATTCTCCTCCCCTCTAAGACGGATTTTTTGTATTTGGTCTTTTTGGTTGTCTAATCGTAGCCTTGTGTTATTTAATTACAAAGGCTGCACGAGCATTGTTGTTGCTTGCATGGTGGTCTTAGAGATCGTTACCATCGGCCAAGATTCTCACCTTGTCCTCACTCTCGCCTCCTATCCACCCAATCCTCTCACGCTTCACCACGCCACCAATGCGGGTTGTAAATTCGAACCCCCCCAGAAGGTGGATCTGCGTCTGAAGGAGTTGGGTGTTTTTCTCTCGCCTCTTCACCTTAATCAGGAGCACAGCCCAACTACCTTGGGAGGAGGGGAGTGGAAACTTGTCGTCAGTGGCCTTCTTTCACCTCATCGCTCCCCTAATCGAGTGGTGCTTTCCAGTTAGCCAATCAAGCGATGCACACTGACCACTTGTGTCACTCGTCTAATGATGCATTTTAACAATGACTTTTAATTTTTGTGTGTGTCAAAATGTGACAGAAGGTGGCAGTACAGTCGCCCTACGCCATTCACATCATTTCTATACCCTCCTCTTCCCGCTCATCTCGATTAATTGCAGGAACAAGCCCAGTTTTAGGACCTAAAAATACTAAAAATCACAAGCAGAAAGGAAAATTGTTACACACTAGTGTTGCCTTTTTTTTAATTTTTGCTTCCCAAACAAATCCTTCTGTTGTATGCCTAATGAGAGTGCCGATAACGTACAGTTGATTGATAGACAATACGGACTTCCATTGTTTAATTTTCCGCTAAAAACAAAAGTCTACAAAGCAAAAAAAAACAAAGAGGATCACAAGATTTGGAGGGAGTAATGGGGATTGATTAGACTCTTTTTGACTTAGCGCTACACTCGGTCCGGTTCCTCCGCCTCTCCTCGGTCTCGATCGCCTCTCTTTCTCTCTCAACGTCCAGGTTGATTGGAGGCGAAGGAATTGTTTCGGCTTTTGTCATAGAATTCGAATATTAAACTTAAGTTTAATCTCTTAAAAGAGGATTACTTAACCAACCAATGTTTCAGCAGCCTTGAATTAGTGGTCACTGATATGAACGGGACAAACACCTAAGAAATTTAGTTGTTGATTATAAAAATAAATAGCGCTGTAAAAGGAGAGCAGATGTAGGTCGCTTAAATGAAATAAGTAGCATGTAGCTATGGTAAATACCGCTTTCTCTCCTCCCTCCCCCCTTCCCCCTTTCACTTTCAACT